TGGTTCTTCGACCGAACGGGAGAATTCAACAACTTCGTCGAACACCATTCACAAGCGCTTCGCAGAATGAGCAAGGTCTTCAGTATGGCGTGTGCAGCACTGGTAGCACTTCAAAACATGGATGACGACACCAGAACACACAGAGTCACCGCCGCGGTGCCATCGGTATCGTCACATCCGCTCCAACTGCAGCTCACACTGCGAGATATGTCATCAACGGAGGGATGGACGAAACATCGCCCCGTAGGAGTCTGGATCATGGACGTCTGGTGGTTCACCAAGCTGGAGATAGATGAAGTAGAATACCTAGATGAAACTAGGGAGCTACGAGTGACGCTCGTCACATATACACAGATGGAACATGTGCTGCGGAACGCTATCAGGGCCGTGGGACGTAGAGCGGGGAACACCGCATTCCTAGATCTCTTTGTCAAACTAGGTCGAATTCCGGCGAACGCCAACCCGGCATTTGAATCCGTCTCAAGGATGCAGATGTACAAAGCCCTGGAGGAAGGCGGAGACGACAAAACCGTGGTCGATATTGCATACGGAGCGCAGGAACTAGGATGCAAGACGGCCGCAGAAGCACGAGGAGATGAAGACGAACCGGTCATCGACTCGGTAACACTGCACGGCCGACGACTGCAGCTAACTCGCGACCAGCAGGAAGCCCTGGCACTAGGGAATAGCAGATATCCACTAATAGCCATTCAGGCCGCTTTCGGGACCGGAAAGACAGTCGTCGGTGCCTGCGTGGCCATGCGTCAGGCGATCGCCGGGCAACGAGTCATCATCACCGCTTCCACCAACACTGCTGTAGCTCAGTTCGCCAACACCATTCTCGGATTTGAGGAAGCGCAGCAGGTTGGGATCACTCGCTTCATAGCAGAAGCTATCGCTTTCGATACGGACGCGCCGACAACCGTCGTTGACCTCCCTGAAGTCCTCAAGATGATCGGAACGGTGTTCCAACAACAACTCACGACGCAAGAGAAAGAAACGTGCCGGATCTTCACGCGTGGACGAATACGTTACGAGAGGTACAGGAGGGAACGACGTACTGACCTGACGGATCAAGAGAGAGAAGACTTCATGCTGGCAGAAAAGGACGTTTCGCGGAACTTGCAGGAGATGATCGACATCATGTTCCGTCATATGAATCCCAAGATTGTGTGCATTACAACATCTTCTTTGCTCAATACGACGGACAAGGATGGACTCTTCAAGGGCTACCTTGATAAGTTCGACGTCATCATATGCGACGAGGCTTCGCAAGTTC